TACTTGATCGATTTCCTTTGAGATTAACTTTGTCTATAAATCTTTTTATTGAAATCCTTTTTGCACACAAACTCTTTCTTTCATTAGCTCAACCACTCGGTGATCGTTATGGTGACGAAAAGCACAATTGACGCAGATCTGAGGAGATTATTTGTGAGGAGACAAGAGTTTATGCTAACCTCAGTATCGCAATCAGCACAATGACGCATTTCATTGATTTGTTCCTTAAAAAAAGTGAGGATTTCAGACTGGCAATAGATTTCGAATGAAAAACCTTGTCATTAAGCTCTTTTGTTTAAAATTTTCAGAAGTTTTTCAATAAATAAAGGTTGTAAAAAGTTATCTAATGGTGAGAAGAGCTTTAGAAATAGGAATAAAAGGATTAAGAAAGAGTTTACAGTGTTTTAACTGAATAACTTATAGCTTGAAGAAGTGCGGGCAAAGAATTTCTTTAAAGTTGAACCTTTTTGCGACATTCTAAGCAAAGAGCACAGCATTCTTTTGTCCGTTTGAACTGTTCGATCATCTCGGGTAACTCTAGTAAGAAATCTAAAATCTAACAATCTAATCAATTATTGATTTTCTTTAACCTTTTAATCCATTCATTTGTTTATTTGTTACACTCGTCGATGTTTTTCTTTTACAAAGTGGGCAAAGGAGACAAAAAATGTGTCGTGGATGGTTGAAATCAGGAAGATTCCCATCTCGAATCTTTCGATAACAATCGAAACAAAGAGTGTGATGACAGAAGAGCTCAAAGGGACATTTCAATGGATCTGAGATATCATCTAAATCAGATAAACATTACATTAAATCTCTTAACTTACAAATGTCAAGACACACTGGACACTCGGGAGCAATGAATGGCTCCTGGAAATTGGCTTTGTAATGGCTTTGATGGCTTTGTAATGGCTTTGATGGCTTTGTAATGGCTTTGATGGCTTTGTAATGGCTTTGATGGCTTTGATGGCTTTGTAATGGCTTTGTAATGGCTTTGATGGCTTTGTAATGGCTTTGATGGCTTTGTAATGGCTTTGATGGCTTTGTAATGGCTTTGATGGCTTTGTAATGGCTTTGATGGCTTTGTAATGGCTTTGATGGCTTTGTAATGGCTTTGATGGCTTTGATGGCTTTGTAATGGCTTTGTAATGGCTTCTGATTGGCTTTGTAATGGCTTGGATGGCTTTGATGGCTTTGATGGCTTTGTAATGGCTTTGATGGCTTTGTAATGGCTTTGATGGCTTTGTAATGGCTTTGTAATGGCTTTGATGGCTTTGTAATGGCTTTGATGGCTTTGATGGCTTTGTAATGGCTTTGTAATGGCTTTGATGGCTTTGTAATGGCTTGGATGGCTTTGATGGCTTTGATGGCTTTGTAATGGCTTTGATGGCTTTGTAATGGCTTTGATGGCTTTGTAATGGCTTTGATGGCTTTGTAATGGCTTTGTAATGGCTTTGATGGCTTTGTAATGGCTTGGATGGCTTTGATGGCTTTGATGGCTTTGTAATGGCTTTGATGGCTTTGTAATGGCTTTGTAATGGCTTTGATGGCTTTGTAATGGCTTGGATGGCTTTGATGGCTTTGATGGCTTTGTAATGGCTTTGATGGCTTTGTAATGGCTTTGTAAGGGCTTGGATGGCTTTGATGGTTTTGTAAAGAATCTAGACATCGACAAACCTTTCCAATAATATATCCAGTTTTTGAATCGTTTAATTGAAGAGATTCATGAGAGATCACATCTAAAATCTTCTTTCGAACAAGTACAACTATCTTTAAAACCTAATAGTGACTGAATTTTGTGAGGATTCGAGAAATGCAAGTCCTTGATTTGTCTCCAACGATCTTCTCGTTTCTTTACTTTCTCTTGATCAAAACACTCTTGACACAAACAAATCCTTTTCTCATTTTCATCACACCAGCTCATTCGTGGGACTCTTGTGTGAATCAGGACTAAAAATGAGCACCAAATTTTTGACTCCGTTGCTTACGGAAGCATTCGTACGCTACATTTCCCCGCGACTAAAAGCCGATGGATTCAGCGCTGGGCTTTTCCCCGTTCGCTCGCCGTTACTAGGGGAATCTTTGTTAATTTCTTTTCCTCCGCTTAGTAATATGCTTAAGTTCAGCGGGTAATCACGACTGATTTTTACACGTCGACTGATTTAGACGACAATAGCTCATTATTTTTTAGATTTTGCTGAAAGAAGAGGATTAGAGCTTTAAAAATTCTGGTAAATATAGCCTAAATCATTCAGAAAGTTACAAATTTGAACAAAAAAAGACGACTCACAAGGCTTTTCACATTTTCGACAATTCAACGATTGAAAGATCTTCTCATTCATTTGAAACAAGAATGGATTTTTGGTTGAAATGATCGGCAATCCAAGAAAATCGAAATTTCGATAGAATTCTAAGGAATTAAACACAAAGAAAGTCGATTCCATTCTCTTTCAACAATTCCACAAGCCTTATCAATGTTTTATGACGCAATTCACTAGTTAATCCTTAAAGAAATGCATAGTTTCCGTTCAAACGAAGATCCGTTTCTTCTCATTCGTTTTTGATGTTTTCAAATCATATACATTTAGTGGACACATCAGGAATTGATAAAAAATCAAGTGAATCAATGAATTTATTTGAAAAAAAACACACCAAGCAACAGTTATTCGGAGTTTAATTGATTGATCTTCCATTGAGTTCTTCGATTGAGCGCAACTAGACTTTTGTGCTCCATTTTTTTCGTTTTTCTTGATGTTTTTGCTGGTTTTTCTGTTTATTTACAATTTTTCTGTTTTTCTTTGAAGTGATTGAGCTGAGCCTCTAAAAATCTACCAAAAATACCATTAACGGCATTCACTGAGTATCTTGATAATCTCCTAACAAAAAAAACGATATTTAACAAAGGGATATTAGCTGAATAGCTGATATTAGTGTCCTGACTTTTTACAGAAGATATCAAGATATTCAACCAATGCAATGCAATTGTGCAATGTTAAAGTAGTCCTAGTTGCCAGCAAAATCGCCAACAATATATTCGGTTGTCGGATTTGAAATGTCGCTTGATTTTTGCTTGGTTGTTTTTCTGTCATAATAAATTCTTAGCTAGTGGAATTTGATTCATTTTAAAGCGCGTTTTCTGACGTATCTTTTTAGATATTGTTTGTCTATATTGTATGATTTTAAAAGAAAAAATTTAGCTTAAAAATGATCAAGCAAAAATATCGTTTATGCCTTTATGTTTTATGACTTCAAACAGGAAAGAAGTGCTATAAAATCTCAGCGAATCTTAGCAACTTTTCGGTAATCATGTTCCATCATTACGTCAATGCCAGCAATGGTTTCTGCGTTTCTGAAATGAAGATGAAAGCCTTGAAGACGAAGGACAACCGGATGTTATTGATGGACAACCGGATGTTATTGATGGACAACCGGATGTTATTGATGGACAACCGGATGTTATTGATGGACAACCGGATGTCATTGGTGGACAACCGGATGTAGTTGATGATGTATTGAAGGAAGCCATCGAGTCGGATCCGTGTCAAACTACACGAGAGCTAGCAGGGACATTTGCCTGTCACCATTCCCGATCACTTGCACGCAATTAGAAATAAAAACCGATGAGGAAAATGGGTGCATCAGCTCAATGATGCAAATAAAGCAACACGTGTCACCATTCTTCGGAATTCTTCTCCGCAGCGCCAAGAACAACGGTTTCTTCAACTCCATCGTTACGACGGATGAGAAGTGGATCTCTTATGATAACACAGTCAGAAAACAGCAGTGGCTAGGCTTTGGTGACCCTTCAAAAACAACGCCAAAGCCTGATATCCACGGAAAAAAGCTTATGCTTTGTGTTTGGTGGAACAGTAAAGGCTTGGTGTGTTTTGAGCTGTTAGATTCTGGTCAAACGGTTACAGCTGATCTCTACAAAGACCAAGAGTTGCGTGGATTAAGTGCTGCATCGTCAAGGGATGGATACGACTACAAAATTCCTTCACGACAACGCTCGGCTGCATATCACCCAGCAAAAGATTGAAGAATTGGGCTGGGAACTTCTGCCTCACCCGCCATATAGTCCTGATCTTGCACCATCTGATTACCATTTGTTTCGAACGTACTCTTTGACAGAGAAAGAAATTCAAAAACCGCCACGAAGTTAAAATTTGGGTATCTTCTTCAAGTCAAAGCCAGATGAGTTCTTTAGGGAAGGCTTTTCTTCTTTTCATTTTTAAGGAATTCATTCATTCTTTGCGTACAAGATGGTAGAATTTTATTGATAATAATGTAGAATATCTTTTCAATTGAGATATTGTATTTTTGTTTTTAGCTAATCCGACAACCTAATAGGAAGTGTCGTTGAGGAGGCAACTGAAGGACTTGATTTTCATCAAGAACTTGATTTTTATCTGATAGAAAAGATCAAATCAATGAACAATCGATTCCTTGACTCACTTAAACTATTGATTCATTGCTTGTGTCACCACAAGCAATGACAAGCGAAGCAATGCCATAGACAAATTTATTCGCATTCTCTGCTGACGCTAATAACCTGGAAGGAATAAGGCTTTTTATCCTTTCTTTTAATGAATTAGCTTTGATTTTTAAGCTTTATAGTATTTTAGATAGCAATTAATTCTTGAAAACAGCTTACTAATCAAAATTTCAAAATCCCCATTACTTACAAATATTTGAAAGGGTGAAGAAGTCAAAAGTGTTTAGTAAAGTTCGTACTGAGGCTTATCTTTTTAAAAGTTACACTAATCGATACAATAATATTCGAGTTTACTTTACAGTTACCGTAATTTATTTCATACTTGAGACAATTACCAGAAATGAGGCCAATTACCAATTCTGCAAAGATCACTGATGCCATGAGCATCAGTGAAGGGAATTATTCAATCAATTCAACAAACATTCATCGATTTTCTTTTCAAATTCATTTTCTTGTAATGTATTAAGTTTAAATTCAAATTCTCATTTTCATTTTCTATTTTCAGATGTCAATCTCTGAGCCAATTCGTGTCTCTTGCCGAATTCGAGCCAATCCCGGGGATCATGTGATTGTCCGTGCTGCAAATCCATTTGTGGAAATGTTGAATTCGAATGGAATTTGCACTGGCAGCTACAAATTTTCGGCTGTCTTTGATCAACAACATCTACAGGTTTAATTAAACGTTTTATTACGATAGAAATAGCTAAGTTTAATCCAGTATCGCTTTCTGTTCGGTTAAACCTCCATTTTCCGGAATTTCTATTGAAAATATAGCCAAATAAGGCAAAAATTGATTTCAAGAATTTGGACATAGTGTTGACTAAAGAGCGAACGCTCAATCGCTAGCCACTCCTCTCCAAATTCTTTACACTTTTTGTTTTTGAGTTCAGGATGAAGTCTATGAAAAAGTGGCAAAGCGAGTCGTCGATCGGGTACTCGGTGGCTACAATGGAACCATCTTTGCCTATGGACAAACGGGCAGCGGTTGGTTTTGAATGCAATGAAAAGCTCTATCTCTAGATTTCCATACAAGAATAAAATACAAGAACAGAATACAAGAGCATCACTAAAGCTTTGCCTTTCTTGAAACTTCAACAGCTTTTAGCCAAGATCATTAGCTCAAAAGTATTTTGTTTTTGTCCAGAAATTTGTTCTCAAGTTATTTCAAAAGAAATAAAACTCTCAAAGAAATCAAACTGAATTCAGGCAAAACGCACACAGTTGTTGGTCCATCACATCTCAAAGATCTCACAGAAATGTCGATAAACGATCGTGGAATCATCCCTCGATCAATCGATCAACTCTTCAATTTCCTCAATGCTAGAAAAGAAGAAGTAAATTAAAGCGAAAATCTTTTTTACCCATTTTCAGCTCACTGAGAAGAGCTTCAACTTCGAGATGCGAATCTCCTATGTTCAATTTTATCAAGATGTTTGGTATGATCTATTGGCTGGAAATGAAAAGGTAATCTTGATTTTGATTGAAATCAGACTTTTGTATTGTTTTAGATTCGTTTCTCTACAATGACAGGGTTGGATTCGGCAAAGTTCGCCGTCAACTCATCGATTGATGCTTTAAAGGTTTAGAAAACAATAAACAATAAAGAATATCTGAATTCTGAATACTTATTGCATTGATTGGATTGAATTTCAAAATTTCAGCTCGTTCAAATCGGTTGGAACTCTCGACGAACAGCGGAAACGGCGATGAATCGAGTGTCGAGTCGATCGCATTGCATTTTCATTGTTGAAGTAGTTTTATTAGTGTTATTAATATTATCAGAACCATTTCCCCTAATCACTAACCACAAAATTCTAGCTTAAAACCGAGGAACTCAAAGGCGAGCCAGGAGAAGGAATTGTTGAGGAGCGTACTTCAAAACTATCTTTGGTGGATCTCGCCGGATCTGAGCGTGTCTCTCAAACGGGAGCTCAAGTCGGCGATAAACTTTTCAAAGAAACTATCACAATAAACAAGGTAAGAAAGCAAGAAAACCAAATTACCATTCTTAAACTGTATTTTATTGCGATCACCAGTGTTCACAGTGTTCACAGGGTTCACAGTGACTTGACTTTATCCATCTCAGAGTCTCACTCATCTCTCCACCGTAATGCAACAGCTTTCCCAAGGCCAGAAGCACATCAGCTACAACAACTCGGAGTTAACCCGTTTCCTGAAAGATTCGCTCGGTGGAAATGCGATCACAGCGATTGTCGTCACTATTCACTCAAATAAAGAGTTTGTTTAGAAATTTTGAGTTTAAGCTGTTTAATTTAAGAATGTTTAGAAATCAAAATCAAATTTGACTTAAATCTTTAACTTTCAGATATCTCAGCATGATCGAGAGCACTTTTCAGTTTGCAAAATGGTGTCTGAACATCAAGAATGAGGTTCAGGTAAGGAAAATGAGTCGATTTTCTATAGGTTAGGGTTATTGAACATCAAGAATGAGGCTCAAGTAAAGAAAATGAATCGATTTTCTATAGGTTAGGGTTATTGAGCATCAAGAATGAGGGTTAGGTAAGGAGAATGAATCGATTTTCTATAGGTTAGGCTTATTGAACATCAAGAATGAGGCTAAGGTCAAGAAAATGAGTCGATTTTCTATAGGTTAGGGTTATTGAACATCAAGAATGAGACTAAGGTAAAGAAAATGAATCCATTTTCTATAGGTTAAGGTTATTTTAAGTGTTTTGAGAAAAAATGAATAGAAACTTTCAGACAAACATGAAAATCGCTGCTGAAACAAAGTTGGCGCTGCTCAACGAGGTGAATGAGCTCAATCAACGACTTCATCAAGCGTATGCAAGAATTGAGAAAAGTAATGAATAGTTTTCAATCGAAATTTGAAAGTACTGTTAGCTGAATAGATTTGGTCTAGATTTATAGTTAGAATGAGGAAATGAAAGGGTTTTCTTTGCCAGTTCTTTGCCATTGAAAGGCTTTTCTTTGCTGACGTCAGAATGCTTTTTAGTTTTACAGTATCAAAATCTCAAGCTTTTACAATTCAATTCTTAATTTCAATTGTTTTTCAGAGTTCGAATCAAGAATCGAAACCCTTGAGGAGGAAATCGATGAACAACGAAAAAGAAACGAGCAAAAAGATCGAGAAATGGTGTTGATCGAGACAAAACTGAGGCTTCAGACTGAGAATTTGGTGGCTTTTTGTGTAATCTAGTGCTTTGTATTGAAAATAAGCAAATCTGACGTTGGAAATCAGCTTAAACAAGTTCAAACAAGTTTAAACAAGCCCAACCAAGCTCCAAACAAGCTGAAACAAGCTGAAACAAGCTGAAACAAGCTCAACCAAGCTCATTAATCTTCGATTCTCACTTCCAGGCAATCCAATCTCCTCACCGAGATTCACCAAGAATGAAAAGACGAAGAACAGCTTCAATTGATGCTCAAAGCAAACAAAATCTTCCCTTTATCTCTACGGTAATCAAAAACAACTCAACTAGTAGTACAAATACAATTCTAGGAAGTCGATAATGAGAAAATCGACTTGCAACTAGAGAACGCAAAGCTGAGGGAATTGTTGGAGGCAAGGGAAAATGAGATCGAACTTTTGACTGATCAGAGAACAACGCTTCAACACAAAATCGACAGAATACAGCAAGAAGCAAAGGAAAAGTTTGTGAAATACAATTGTAAAACAAGAAAATTGATCTACAAGTACTTTTGTATCGAAAACTTCGCAAAGTTTTCAGGTGGTAAAGCTAAAACAAAAAACATTTAGTACAGTACCTTTTATTATCATTTAGACTACTCAATCTTCAAATCCATTTACAATCGATTGAAGAAAATATGAAAAAGCAACTCGAGGACAATAGAAAGATCAATAAAGCGGTAAATTTTACTGATCTTTGAACAACCAGCAGCCTGGATCTAGTCTTGGGCCAAGCTAAGGCCAAGCTAAGGCCAAGCTAAGGCTAAGCTAAGGCTAAGCTAAGGCTAAGCTAAGGCTAAGCTAAGGCTAAGCTAAGGCTAAGCTAAGGCTAAGCTAAGGCTAAGCTAAGGCTAAGCTAAGGCTAAGCTAAGGCTAAGCTAAGGCTAAGCTAAGGCTAAGCTAAGGCTAAGCTAAGGCTAAGCTAAGGCTAAGCTAAGGCTAAGCTAAGGCTAAGCTAAGGCTAAGCTAAGGCTAAGCTAAGGCTAAGCTAAGGCTAAGCTAAGGCTAAGCTAAGGCTAAGCTAAGGCTAAGCTAAGGCTAAGCTAAGGCTAAGCTAAGGCTAAGCTAAGGCTAAGCTAAGGCTAAGCTCTGACTTCATCTGGCTTAAGACCTAGAAGATCCATGATACCAGCTCTGGTCTTGTCTAAAGCTTTTAAAGTTTTAAGTTAAAAAGTTAAGTTAAAGAGTTTAAGATCTTTTCCAAAATGTAATTCTTTTTAGAAAGACGATTTTGAATCCGCGTTGGCTTGTTGTCAGCAAAAAGAGAGTGATTTGAGAAAAGAAATTGAACAAACGCAATCGGAAAACAATGAGCTCATGGAAAAATTGAAAACTGTAATTGTAAAGTTTGAATTGTTAGATCGAAATCCTTCTAGAAGCAAGAAGAAGCGGCTGAACAAAAAGTTGTGATTGAAGCGATGGAGAGGAAAAGGAAAGACTTAGAAGATCAATTATTCGACAATTTCAATGATCAACAGAATAAAGTTTGGATAGAAAGGAAACAATTTTATAAAAGCTTTTTAGAAAACTGAAATGAATTGCCTGAAAAGTGAGGTAATCGAAAAAACGAAAGAGTTGAACGAGCAGATTGAGCGAGTGAAAGCGCTTGAACAATTGGTTTGTTTCCTTTGATAACTCTAGTTTTTATATAGTAATGTATAGTAAAGCTCTTTCTTTCATTACAGTAATCTACAGTAGCCTACAGTAGCCTACAGTAGTCAGCTAAAAGCTCATAGCTAGCTTTACCATCAGAGTTGTGAGCTAGCCTTATCGTCAGAGCTTATTTTCAGAGTTGGTGTTAGGTTGAAGTGTTTGAAAGTGTTTGGAATGCAATAATGATACTGTAGTTTAGATTTGGATTATAATAATGCAATACTTTCAATAACATACCGTAAATACTGTAATAGTACCCCACCCCCATAATGACGGTGCGGACTGTTGCGTAGTCTAGCTTTGAACGAGTTTTTCTCGACACTGGTTTATGCTACAATGCTCGTTTTGGTATCTAAAAATAGCTGAAATTCAGGGCTATTTTTTGATACCTAAACGAGCATTGTAGCATAAAGCAGTGCGGAGAACGGGATGTTTAAAGATAGACTACGCAACAATCCCGAAAAAACGTGTTTTTCTCGACACTGGTTTATGCTACAATGCTCGTTTAGATATCAAAAAATAGCCCTGAATTTCAGCTATTTTTTTGATATCTAAACGAGCATTGTAGCATAAACCAGTGTCGAGAAAAACACGTTCAAAGCTGACTACGCAACACTCCGCACCGTCATTATGGGGGTGGGGTACTATTACAGTATTCACGGTATCTATTTTTAGCATAAAAACGTCAAATCTGATGAAGCATTTCATTGGGCTCAATTGGAGGAAAAAGTGAAGCGATTAGAGAAAAATCTCTCAATTACCAACGAACAACTTGCCGAGTTCATCGATAAGAATCAAAATTTAGAGGAAATGGTAAACAATTTAAAGAAAAAACGTTACAAAAACAACTACTCTACAAATAGGAATATCCAGTGATTGATTTTCTCATCAGTTATTCATCAACTTTTCTCAAATAATCTAAATCAAATAGTCTAGTCAATGCTAACATCTATCTAGTCCATGCCGACATCTATCTAGCTCTTGTCAAGCTACTCTAATTCTCCAAAAACTCAATTACAGCATTGATTTGTCCTGATTAGGCTAGTTAGAATCGTTGATTGATCAAGCTTATCCAAATCTATTGGTCAAACATTGATCAAGCATTGATTTGTCTAGAGATTTGGATAGGCTTGTTCAATCAATGACTCTAACTAGTCTAATCAGGACAAATCGGTGGTGTAATTGAGATTTTGGAGAATTAGAGTAGCTTGACTAGAGCTAGATTGATGTTGGCATTGGCCTAGACTAGTTAGAATCATTGGCATTGGCCTAGACTAGTTAGAATCATTGATTGATCAAGCTTATCCAAATCTATTGCTCAAACACTGATCATTTCAACTTAACCAACTCAATTCTATTAAAATATCTTTCAGAAAGCAAAGCTAACCTCTAGATCAATAGATTCGGATAAGTTTGATCAATCAATGACTCTAACTAGTCTAATCAGAACAAATCAATGGTGTAATTGAGTTTTTGGAGAATTAGAGTAGCTTGACTAGAGCTAGATAGAGGTTGGCATTGGCCTAGACTAGTTAGAACCATTGATTGATCAAGCTTATCCAAATCTATTGCTCAAACACTGATCATTTCAACTTAACCAACTCAATTCTATCAATATCTTTCAGAAAGCAAAGCTAACATTTGACAAGACTCAATTGGAAAAGAAGTACATTTCACTTGAGAAAGAAGCTGAGAATTGGAAAAAGAAAGTCGAGAACTACACAGCCTTAGTCAAGGATCAAAATAACAAGCCTTTCTCTGAAGAAAGAGATAAAAATCGAGCAATTGTACAGAAACTAATCGCTCAACACAAGGAAATATTGGAGAATGAGCAGAAGAGACAGGTTTGAAATTGAAAATTGTGGTTTGGTTTGTGAAATTCTTTGAACTGATTCCTTTTTAGAAACAAATCGATGATTTTCATCAGAAAGAGATCGAGAAATATCAAGGAATTGTGAAGAAAATGACGAAACAACAAGAAGAACGGGAAAAGAATTTCGATCGAGAGAATATCAATGCGAACAAAGAGATCGACTTTCACAAGAATAGAATCAAAGAGTAAGATTAAGCAATGAAATGAAATGAATCTACCGTTTTATCTGAGCTTTGTGCGCTAAATGGTATGTGTTTTGAAGCCTCAGAGAACTACTGGCAAGGTAAACTAAGCCTTGTTTACCAGTACTGAGGACTTGAATTTGGGTAATTGATTCAATTACCCAAGTTCAAGTTCTCAGTACTGGGCCGGTTCAAGCTTTGATTCAAGCGCTTGGCTAAAGTTAAGTTTGTCAGATACTAGAGAAAACGTAGAAACTCAAAGCAAAGACTCAAACCTATATACTTTCCATTTAGCTTGATCAATGAGAGTGAAAAGCTTCGAGAACAAGTCGATAATCTAAATAAAAACTTTGAACATCTCAAGAAAGATCAAGTGATGAAAAGAAGCCAAGATTTCAACTCCAAAATTATTCTGGAGAATCGAAAGCAGCTTGATTGGTAGGAAAACTGAAAACTGAATCCATTTATGTAAATCATTTTTTCAGTCTTGTCCAACAAATCGACTCACTCGATAGAAAGTTGCAAGAAGAAAGCCGACTTCGAATCGCAACTATAAATGAATGTCACCGTTTAGAAGGAGAAGCCAGAGAGATGAGAGAAAATGAGAAGAAAAACCGATATGAAAGAGATTTGTCTTTGAGAAATCTTGCCATTCAACAAGAGAAGGAGAAAGAGAATGGGGTTGGTTTTCAAAAAAGGTATTGATCGGGATTGAACACTGGATCTTCCGACTATTGACCGGGATTGAACCCTGGATCTTCCGGATACAGGACTCTTAGCCAGTCAGCCTGTCGTTGGGTAAATGCTTTCTTTAAACTAGCACTAACAAGAGCAAGGTGACCAAATCGAATAATCTAAACCATAATCTAAACCAATGATCTAAACCAATGATCTAAACCATTTAGCGCACAATTTTCCGCTCAATCCGAATCCTCAATCTCAATCCGCTTTATTCTTTCTTAAATTATATGCAATCATTAAGTTTTTAGATTTACTATATGCTCTAGATCTCAGCCTATAGTTTGAAAATGAGAAAACAATGTTTTGAGATCAAAATGCGCCAGTCTTCTGCATTTCTTGCTTAAAAACGGAAAAGCAAACTTTCTCGCGTACTAAATCTTTTCATTTTCTTAATAGAAATAGATTAAAGCTTTTGATTTTTGATGAAATTCTAAAAAAGTACTTTTCTCTCTCTCTCATCCAGGAGAAAATCAAAAGAAAAACGAAAAAAATGGCTAACAAAGAGGTCCTTTTTGATTGATTGAACATCTACTATATTATAATTTTAACAAAATTTTTTGTCAAAGCATTGAAATAGGGACTAGGAGACGGAAAAGTCATCAGATTTTGATCAAATACCGTATTCTCTCTAATAGTAGTGCGCACTATTATTTTTTCAACCCCCTCCTGGACCGCAATACTATTAGAGAGAATACGGTATGCAAATTTCTGTAAATCAATGAACTGACTGGAGCTAACAACAGCTTTTTATGTCAATTTCATTTGCTAAAACAAATCACTATAACAAATCACCTTTTCCCAACTTCTAACCAACTTTTCTTTTTGATTTTCTGCTTTATAATTTTAGTTCTCACTCTTTTCCAATAAGAAAAACGTCCAAAAATCTATATAAACCCAAAAAAGTAATTTTTGTGTCCCTGATTGCGCGTTTTGATCTTTAAATAGAGTCAAAGCAGTCGTGAATGCCTAGCTCGTTTAGATATAATATTTTATTCAATTTTTCAAATCAATCCAGATTATTCTCCAGATTCGTCTCCTTAAAGACGCGCTCTCAATGGCGAACCAAACGCTGCGAAAATCCGGTCTTCCGACGGTTAAATTTGCTGAAATCTCGACTTAAGCATAGTCTTTTTATAAAAATTCTTGTAATTTTGATATTTTTGTATTTATGTGATAAATTTTAAATGAAATTTATTATGCAGACATGCAATTGATGATACATTTTCATCCACTTTGTTCAATCGGTCGCTTTGTTCAGTCGCTTTTACAGAATTTCTGAAAATGCACATTTAAAGCGTTTCCATATAGTAATTAGCTATAGCTATAAAACTAGAAATTGAGAAGTTACATTTTCAAAGAAAGTGGCAAGAGAAAGTAGCCTTAATAAAGCATAGGCTTCGTCGATCGTTTCGATCGGCTAACATTCTAAAATTTTGCAAGAGTAACTACACAATTAATGCATTTATTTGAAGAAAAGTTTTTTGTTAATTTATCTAGACTTATGAGAAATTCTTTCTACTTTGAATCCTTGAATTAATCGATTTTCAAAAAAGTTGATTAACAGTACAGTAGCTTAACAGTACAGTTGATTAACAGTACAGTGGATTAACAGTACAGTTGATTAACAGTACAGTAGCTTAACAGTACAGTTGATTAACAGTACAGTTGATTAACAGTACAGTGGCTTAACAGTACAGTTGATTAACAGTACAGTAGATTAACAGTACAGTAACTTAACAGTACTGTAGCACTAACTAGAACCCATTTTACTCCTTGTAGGACGAGTGATCGTAGCATGAATTGTAGGACGAGTAATTGTAGCCTACTCTTTCAATAGTCATTGTATGCTTGCAAAGCTGAAATTGCAAAGCAAATTGCTTTAGTTGTAAAGTTCAAAAAAATATGCCGAGTGATGAGATAAGAAAAGCCGCTTTGCTTTTCTTTTGAGGTCAATAAACAGGTTGTGTTTGCGGAGATTCAGCCCTAAGCAATTTTGTTTCAAATATTACATGCAAGTGGAATGAACGACATTGAAAGTGTCAGCGATGATGCATCGATTCCCGACGAATGTTCAGGTGGAATTCTTTGGTTTTGCTAGTAGAGCTGTGTTGAAAGTCAAGAAAAAGAAAAACTAACTTCTAGAGTACTTTAGAAAGTACTCTAGTACTTTCTAAAGTACTCTAGCTATTCCATTTACAAATAGATTACAAAGTACTCTAGCTTTTCCATTTACAAATGAATTTTTGATTCTGTTAAATTTTTGATTCTCTTATTGGATACAATTCCAAAGTGCAATCAAAAAAACTTCTTTTATTTCAAAAGTGATAACATAGATGCTCAGTACGCGGGTGATTTGAACAGTGTCGATGTGGAGGGTGATTCGATGACAACATCGACTCCTCAGCCACCCGAGAAGCCTTGTGATCACCTTTGTGTACGTCATTTCGAGTCATACGATCAAAAAACTTCTTTCAGAAAACTCAAAAATCGATTTGGCCTGCAATTCGTACCTTACACAAAGTTTATAATTTAACTAAAAGACAATTCCTTTTCTCTAGGCCTTCCTTCTCATTTTTTTATTCGGCTCTTGTTATCATGTTGACGATTGAATGGTCATTGATGCACCCTGGAGCAAATAGGTAAAAATATTGGGTTGGTGAATTGAAAACTGCCGGCTATTGTCATATGTGATAGTTTGAGGACTTTCTTCAAAAGAAACCCATTTTGGTGTCAATGGAAAAGTTGTAGAGAATCAAAAATTAGGCTTCTAGCCAAATTTCCAAAAAGATACACTTACCGTAAATACTGTAATTGGACCCCACCCCTCTAATAGTACCCCACCCTAGAGGGGGAGGGAAAAAATAATACCCCACCCCTCTAATAGTACCCCACCCCCACCTAACGCGTAATTACAAACAACGTTTTTAAAGCGGAAAATTTTCATGTATTTTCAGAAATCGTTTGTATTTTTAAATTTATTCCATAAATTTGTTGTTTTTAAATTTGGGGTGACTACTTTGCGCCAAATTTTTTGCGCAGCTCGCCATAACTTTCTTCTAAGTGGGCCAATCTTTATGATTGTAGATCTCAACAAGTGCAACAAAGTAACACCAAAATCATAAAGTTTGGCCCACTTAGAAGCCACTTGAACTCGGAGGGGATTGATATCGGTTTGGCTGAATGGATACGGGACCGTCGAGCCGAGAAGAAACGAGTAACACGCCGGATTATCTGGAATGAAGCGGTCAATCGATTCGAAAAAGCTGAAATTTCTTTCAAAAGAAGCCATGGCTGGATGGAGTCGTTCTTGAGGCGCCACCAACTTTCTTTGAGGGCACCAACAACAACTTGTCAAAAGCTGCCGAGCGAATTTGAGAAGGCCATCGTCGAGCACATTCTGAGGCTGAACAAGACAATGAAAGAAGGCAATTACAAGCACATTGTTGCTTGCGATGAGACGGCGGTTTGCTGTGATGCTTCGACGAGCAAGTGCATCGAAGCGGTTGGAGCCAAAGAAGTTGGTGTTCTCACCCGCGGCTACGACAAGATGAATATATCCGTGATGCTCACTGCTCTTTCTGATGGGAAAAAGTTGCGTCCTTTTGTCGTGGAGCCTCGGAAGACGATGAACAAAAAAAATCGAGACAAAGTTCCAATCGAAGTTATTGCTCTGTTCGAAAGAGAAGAAAAGCAAGTGCTTCGATAATGAGATCACGCAAAATACTTGCAACGCTCTTTCGGTGGACTTCTCTTTAGTCTATTGTACTTACAGGCGATGAGAAATGCTCGGACAGAGGCAGAAATCGAGGACCTCTTGGAACCGCTCGCATTGACGGGATTCCAAGGACATCGAGTAATTGATGAGCAAGAAAATGATGAATTCATTGATTGTTAGTTGTTTTTGTTTCGTTTTGCTGTTAAATTTTCAAATGGTTAAAACCAATAAAAACTAAAGAAAAAGTTTGCTTTTGAACAAATTATTTGAATGTATCCTGATTTGGTAACTTGAATAGTAGTGTAAAATAGTAACCCACCCTCTAATAGTGCCCCACCCTCTAATAGTACCCCACCCTAGAGGGGGAGGGAAAAAATAGTACCCCATGGGGTCCAATTACAGTATTTACGGTAGTAGTTCCGCTTAAAATTTGTGTGTTCTGTGTGTTCTTTGTGCGGCCGCGTAATCGCTCGTCGTCTGGCGCAGGGCTTTTACATAATCCCCTTCCCTCTCTCCCCTCAAATGTCTTCTGGCCGGCCGAATCATCAAATTGGACAGTGACTTGTCCGCAAATCAAGGCTAATCTCAATCCATTGGACTGGTGAATTGAAAACTGCGGGCTATTGTCATATGTGACAGTTTGAGCACTTTCTTCAAAAGAAACCCATTTTGGTGTCAATGGAAAAGCTGTAGAGAATCAAAAATAAAGCTTATATCCAAATTTTCAGAACGATTCAAAAACTGGTTTTCAAGAGATGCCAAATTTACGAATTTTCACAAAACTTGCATTTTAAGCGAAACTACTAAGTGTATCTTTTTGGAAATTTGGCTATAAGCCTAATTTTTGATTCTCTACAACTTTTCCATTGACACCAAAATGGGTTTCTTTTCAAGAAAGTGCTCAAACTGGGACATCTCCAGTCCTCGATTTTGAGTCTCACACTTGTCTCACACACAAACCAAAATCCTATCACGAAAGAGGAATCCGCAAATTGCCTGTAAAATGGGCACAAGTCGTCAATGATAATGGAAATTATTTGGAATGAATTGATGGTTTTATGTTCAATAAATTTTAGTTCAAAGTCCCATAGTTTTCAATTCACGAACCCAATAGTGATGCATTACAGTAATAAAACGAAATCACTCTTGTAGTCCTTTCTACTTTCCAAAAATAACCTTTTCCTTCAGCTACTATCCTTTCGGCAGTCACCCTTATGAGGCAATTCACAATTTGTTCGGTAACATTATTGTGCTCTCGTGTATGGTGGCCTGTTGCTTTGGAATTCACGCAATGCTTTTCAAATTGACACAACGAATTCGTTTCCAGCTTGGCTATTTGGTGAATGCTTTTGGAAGAGAAATACCTAGGAAATCCATGTTTTCTTGTCAAATTTTGTTCATCAATTTACCGATAATCGAGCTTTAATGTAATCAAAAACGTTTTCAGATATTCGTCTTTGGTTTATCGGTAATTCAATGCATCTACCATGTGATTCATAATGACGCCCTTTCCTCAACATTGATCACTTTCATGAACGCTCTCTGGTTTTTCGTGTTACTTGTTCTTTTTCGAATTCATGCTCATTACTTGAATTTGTGTCGAGTGTGTTATTAGCTTGAACAATGGAAACAATGGAAACAATGGAAACGATTGTGATTGAGATTGAGATTGAGATTCTTTATTTGTTTCTTAAAATGAGATTCTTTATTTGTTGAATAAATACCGAAAAATCAATAGCATGTAATGCATTCGTTCATATAATGGACATGACTTCTTGCCACGTAAAACACAACGATTGACCAAACAATATCTACAACAATAATGATCAATGTTTCATAGAGAATCTTGGTGATAATGTGAAAAATGAGATGTAGAACGTTTATAATGATCGCCACTCCCTAAATGTTTTCATTGTGATTCAAAAGGACTTAAAAAGAACGTTTTTAAACCGATTGGGAACTGATTTGGGAACTAACTCTGGGAAACGATTTCGGGAAACTGATTACCGGATTGCTGGATTACCGGATTACTGGATTGCTGGATTACCGTATTACTGGATTACTGGATTACCGGATTACCGGATTACCGGATTACCGGATTACTGGATTACTGGATTACCGGATTACCGGATTACCGGATTACCGGATTACCAGATTACCGGATTACCGGATTACCGGATTACCGGATTACTGGATTACTGGATTACCGGATTACTGGATTACTGGATTACCGGATTACTGGATTACCGGATTACTGGATTACTGGATTACCGGATTACTGGATTACCGGATTACCGGATTACTGGATTACCGGATTACCGGATTACCAGATTACCGGACTACCAGATTACCAGATTACCGGATTACCGGATTATCAGATTACCAGATTACCGGATTACCAGATTACCGGACTACCAGATTACCGGACTACCAGATTACCGGATTACCGAATTACCGAGTTAAATCCAATACTCACCAAATAGATCTCGAAAGCCCGAAGGAGAGACGGTCGTGTGAACACCACCGCATGCATTGCACACAAGTAAAAGGCGATATAGATAAGTGGAAGTGTCGTGCCGGCGATTGTGTGAACCAAATCAAAAGGATCCGCCGCGTAAACGTTTTCCCATGTTCTGATAAAGAAAACATGGAAACAAGAATAGCGAACGACCCACGTTTGCACGTCTTTCAAATGGTGCGCAAACAAAAACGACATGTCAACGAGAATGAATAAAGTGGCGATAAAGGCGAGAAAAATCTGAAACTATTGAGTTTTTATGGAAAAAGACTTTTGAACTTTGTTGCTTTGACGAAAGTCGATCCATGCTGGAGTTTGAAGAGTCTGAAAAAGCGATGAAATGAATGAAATGAATGAAACGAATGAAACAATAATGATTAATGTTTCGTAGAGTCAAACTTGATCAATCGAAATCAACTCACACATTGATGTGGTGCTTGTGGTGGAAAGGTTTTCGGGAGATCTCCAGTCTCGAGATACGACGGGCAATCCATTTCCTTGTTCGCCTTCCATTTCCCGAACAAAACCCAACAAAACGGATTGACGGATTGGGGCCGACGAGTAGATCGTTATATCATCGGACATTTTTGAGCTTTCGACAAATCACCTGACTTCAGTCAAAATAAATGTGCCTGAAAAAGGTTTGCTTTTTTTTGCGAAACATCTTTGACTAATATGAGCCGCTTATGTGATAACGAATCGCTTTTCATCCGCTAGGTCATTTGATAAGACTTTTTTAAGTGAAAGAAAACATAAACGATCTTGGGCTTGATTCTTTTCGTTGCTTAGCTCAGCTTTAGCCTTGAGGTTTAGGCTACGGGAAACATCTTCATATTGTCATATCATCCTTAGACTTTGCTACTTTTGAGTATGATCGACAAAGGATTCTCTGAGCCTCCAACAATGTGACGATCAAAATCTCCTTGATTTTGGTCGTCACATTGTTATGTGACGACCAAAATGAGCAAAAGATGAACCTTTCTTTTGAAACAATACGACGCGTCTTTGAAATAACAGGTCGCGACGTGTTATTTCAAAGAGCAAAGCAAACAAATCAAAATCAACAAAAGGCCGATATTTAGAGCGATATCATCAAGAGTCTCAGGCCGAATTCCCCAAAAGAAACAATAAAATCGATTGGAAAACGGTAAGCAAACTTACATTTTTATAGCATAAGAACTTTGTTTCTTTTAGATTCCTTTTTAGAAAGAAATTTAACTGTGATGTATTCGATGGATTTCGATCGTATTGGCATAACCTATGCAAGGTTATCTTCCGATATTCTTGATGCAACTTTAGGGAAGACATTGTCATGGCTTTCGTTGCAATTTCATCCAATGGTCGGCTCAAGTTATGCTTTTTTTCAAAGATGAATGGATCTGACTACCGGGTTGTTTTGCAACGTGGAATTCTATCTTTTTTGACGCTGGAATCGCAACAAAAATGATGTTTTTATGCGATTCACTAAAGCCGCAACACTCAAGCTTTGTTACAAAAGGATTCCTCTTCTCTCTGGACCCCTGTTTGTCCAAAAATGTTTGGGCTTTTATGGCTTGCAAGATGCACGACGGGAACAAGACATATCGGAACTTTGACGAGCTCAAACCAGCAATCATTAATGCATGACACGACCTGAATTTGATTGATAATCTTTATCTAAGCATGGACAACACAATTTTTCCAATGATTCGCAGAAATCGAGCTGTCATTGATTATTAAAGTTTAATTCCCCTTGTTTTTTTTGTTGTAGTTTGTTAATAAAGTAATTTTCCACGTGAGGACATAATTCTGTTGAGTAGTGTTGAGCAGACAGTATAGAATTACGGGTTTGTCTCGAAGACTCGACCATGTTACTTCCGCCGGCCCGAGGCGGGACTCTGCCGGAGTGGGTCTTTTAAAGACATCTGTAATGGGCCAGAAAGAGCGCGCTGGGCCTGTGGTATCACACTCAAAAAAAGGCACAAAGATCTAGACCTGTATTACAACAGATCTATTTAGCATCTCACAGCAGGACAGATGTGAAAGTTAGAACGAGACGGGAAAATGTGACGTCTATTAGCTGACGACGATTTGCCTCGAGCATTTTCTCGTCTTAACCCCCACAATCATTAAAATACACAGTCTCGCATATTCGATCCATTCGATATTCGATCTATTCGATATTCGATCTATTCGATATTCGATCTATTTGATTATTCGATTCGATAGCATCGCAATGATGACCTTCATAAATTTGGGTTCCTTCCCAGCTCTTCTCGAATCGCAGGTTATAGGAAAATTGGCCGTGTTCGAGGCCTTTCAACTGCTACGAGTTAATCATCGTCTTCGTTCATTCGTCCTGTTTCATGGACCTTATCTTTCGAATCTTCAAAGTGTAGAGGTTAGGCTTCACCACCCGAAATTCGAAAACGGTGAGATTATAGCCGTGGGCATGTGTATTCATATCCTGCATCACTCTAACTATTGGCTTTTTCATTCGAGCAACGTGAAGAATGCCGAGAAGCATCTTCAGGTTGGTGCAAGTGCCACTGTTCAAGTGAATACTTCGCAGGGGAGACTCTTTCAAAAGTTAATTCATTTCGCTGATTTGAAAATATTGTGCTTTCAAAGAACTGTCGTTTCAGAAAACACGACTAGTCGAACAGAATTTGATGCTTCTAAATTTCTCCCCTCCACTCTAAGGAATCCATTAAGAGAGTTTTCAATCGGTTTTCCTCTTCTTAGTGATTTGAGCGTGACTCGCTCACTTCTTTCAAGATATAGTTTTATACAAGTGACGAAGCGCTTCCAAATCAACTGGGACCCCTTTCTTTCTGATGACCTTTATCAGGAACTCGCGGTTTTCATGAAAAGCCATTGGTCAGTATGTGAAGATCTCGGCCTAAGGCGTCTTCCTTCTCAGCTTTTTAACGAGAATCTTTTGTTAATGAAAGAAAATGTGAAACTCCAAGCTAGGCTCATAAGTTGGGATAGCTTCACGAGTTGTGTCGAGCTTTTCGTGTCACGGAATTGTTTTAATGCGTTGCATTGCAGTGTTGAGCATTATGGAGAGATCCGGAAAGAAGATCCGAGATACAAAAAACTACTAGAGATTTTCCATCGTGCGCACATGCCTCTTGTTGAGGCAAAGTTTATCGGCGAGTCGGCGGAGCAGCTCTTTTTTCACCGACCGCCACTCGCCTACCGATTTCAAATTAAATTGTGCTCGAATTACTCTGAAATGGATATTTTGCAATGACAATCTTCATGCAATTTGCAATGACAAATTAAAAATTACGATGTTTGGGTTTTCTCGCTTTTAATTATTGTAATTCTAGAATATTTCATTCGCTACCTAATAAATATCTTATATCTTTATATCTTTCAGGAAAACATGTCATGTTATGCACACATATGTTTAAGTTTAATAAGTAACCCCCAACCGAATTCCAGAATCAGGAAAGGAGATCCGAGATACAAAAAAACTACTAGACATTTTTCGCCATGCCCAAGCCAATGGGTGCTTGATGCACGTTTCGTTTCGATCGCAAACCCCCTTCTCGCGCCCGTAACTGCAGAAACACCGATTCTCTGGCACATCACCGAAAAGCAATGATTCAGGAACAGAGATCAACTAGGGAATCTAGTTCCCTGCTCAAAAAAAGCTTGTGGCTGACTGGCTAAGAGCTAAGCTTGTGTCTGACTGACTATCTTAGTCGAGAGATCAAGGGCTCAATCCCGGCTAGATTATTCGCAAATTACAGTTGATTAGATTTTCATTTTAAGTTCAGAAGCCCGGACAACTAGAGTCTATTCTAGACAACTAGAAAACTAGTTTACTCTAGAATTATTTGAAAAACTACCGTAAACTACACTACTGGACAATGAAATATGATATTTGAAAAACGATCGCAATGAGCATCAGAGCTTAGAAGAGAAAGAGCTACAGTCAAATTTCTGATACTAGAGTGAGCTAGTGAGGTAGTCTAGCAGAAATTTGATCAAGGCTTTCGTTTCAAAGAAGTTACAAACATCACGTACAAATATCTAGATTAGAATCGAATAAACCAAATCTAAACCAAATACAATAGCATCTGAATTCAACATCGAAATATCGAAAATAAAGGCGGGAATCACAGAAACAAAAATCCAGCCATTAGAATGCTACTAGGTTGGTGCAAATGAAATTTCGTTTTTTTACAAACATTAAAGTCATCCAAAGTTTTTTTTGATAACAATTTATTTAAAACAATAAGCACCATTATTATCTATGACATCTCTCCAACGTTGCTACAGATTGCGGATCCCCTTCTCAAAGAACGCTTGATTCTGTGATGCAAAGTAGTTGGTCACCCAATTTTTGACTTCTTTTGCATTCTTAAACTGGCAATTCTCAAGGGAATGTTGCATCGATCTGAAAAGGTGAAAATCGGAGGGTGCTAAGTCTGGACTATACGGCGCATGTGGTAAGACCTTCCATCCTAGCTTCTCTAGTTCCTTACAAGAGGTTTTTGCCGTGTGAGCTGGAGCATTATCACGGAGAAAGTTGATAGTTGAGGGATTTAGGCCTTTTTCACGCAAAATTTCGTCAACCTTCTTGAGTTGTTGAATAAAATAAGATGAATCGACTGTTTTTCCGGGCTCTAATAATTCAAAATGAACAAGTCCATTGATATTCCACCAGCAAGACAACATCACTTTGCGCCCATGATAATCCGGCTTTGGAGTTGGAATTGGCGCTTGACCTTTGCTCAGCCATTGTCTTTTTCGAGAAGTATTATCAAAGTGAATCCACTTCTCATCCATCGTCAAGATATTCTCAAAAAAAATGGCTTCTTTTCGACTTCTGGAGCAAGATATGGCTGATCGGAACGCGTGCTCCCAGATTCTCAACACTCAATTGATGTGGAACCCATTGTCCATTACGATTTGTCTTTCCAATTATTTCCAAATGGCGTACAATTGTTGAATTGGAGATGTTTGGCAAGTTCTCGTGTTGTTTGCATTGGATCAGCTTCAATTAATTGTTCCAATTCATTGTTGTCGATGGCTGTGGCACGATGTCCATGCGATTCGTCTTCAAGGGATTCATTACCATCTCGGAATTGGGCAAACCAGAGCTGGCATGATCTTTCGGTGATAACCTGTTCTCCAAAGGCGGAACAGAGATCACGATGTGAATCAGCAGCGTTTTTGCCCATTTTGAAGTCATAGAGAAGACACGTGCGCAGAACATACTTTTGATCCACCATGATCTAAAGCAAAAATCAATTAAAAAGTGAAAGCTCTGACTTTGAAAAAATGCGAAAATAAAGTAAATATCCAAGAGTACAAATGCACAAAAGAACATCAAATAAGCTCTTCAGATTAAAAAAATAAGAACATTTTATATCGACCGAAATTTCTTTTGCACCAACCTAATATTTCTTTTTTGCAAATAAGTACGGTACGCTATGGGCCATCTTCCAAAAAATCAGCCTGAAAAGAGAGATACACCAATGTCTTTCTGTTTTTC